GATCAGCTGCCTCCTGCACACTCCCTACTGGGGATGTGCCCACAACCAAGGTACATGCCCTTGACCGGAATCGAACCTGGGACCCTTGAGTCCGCAGGCTGACGCTCTATCCACTGAGCCAAACCAGTTAGGGCTGAAATCAATAAAAATATATTTAAAAACAACAACAAAAAACCCGGGCCCCATGGCTCGGGTGAGCGTCGCTGGGGGCAATGCTCCGTGCTGGCCGTCACGCATCATCGCGAAGGGCCTGAGCGCTGTTCGTGCGAGTCCACGGGGAGAGGCCACGGAAGCTGGCGCCGCGTCTCTGCTCGCCCCACGCGCCTCCACCCTTTCGCTAGACTAACCGTGACTGTGGGTCTACCAGCTTTGCCAGCTTCTGAGTCCCTCTAGTGAACCGGGGGGCCTGAGGGGGGCCTTGGGGACCCCTGGATTGCAGTCCCCATCTTGTCTCTATCTGCATTACTCGTCTACCTACCTACCTACCTACCTACCTACCTACCTATGTATCTATCGTCTACCTACCTACCTATTTATTGTCTACAAATTGCAAATATCTGTGTCCAGCCCAGATCTCTCCTGTCAAACCCAGATGCATCTATCTCACTGCCCGCTGGCAACCTCCACCTGGGACGTGGATGGGCCACAGCAGAGCCCCCCACATCCCTCCTCGCCCCCACCTCTGCTCCCCGCCCTCCCCATCTCAGTTGATGACAGCCCAGCCCCATCCTCCCACTTCCTGAAGCCGAACGCCCTGGAGACACCCTTGACTCATGTTTCTCTCACACCCACATCCAGTCTGTCACCACGTCGTCCTGGTTCCACCTTAGAAAGCCAGCCTTTCTGCTTCACCTCCGCGGCCACCACCCAGGGCACCTCCCACCTGGACTCTCGCCTCCTCCCAGCTCCTGCTGCCTTCGCGGCGGGCAGTTCCCCACCTCGCCGCCAGAGGGCGCCAGTGAGCACCGAGGTCGGTCCCCGGCTGGGCTGGCTCAGCCTCCCGGGCCCCTGTCTCGATCACCATAAGCCACAGCCAACGCGGCCCTGCGCGGTTTTGGCCCGGTTACCTCCCTGACCTCATTTCCACTCCTCTCCCGCTCGCTCACCTGGTTCCGGCCACACAGGCCTTCTTGCTGGTCTTCAGACACATCACACCCACCAGAGGGCCTTTGCACCGACTCCCCCTCCTCCCCCCCTGCCTGGGACCTTCTTCCCCCCCAGACACGCCCCTGCCTTCTTCCTTCACCTCCCAGATCTTTCCTCAAAAGGGACATTCTCACTGCGAACACCCTTGACCACCTATAACCGCAACCCCCACCCTACCTCTAACCCTCACCCTCTGCTCCGCGGCTGTGAATTTTTCCATCTTGGACCTATACAAGATTTTCCTTTTCCAGCCCATCTGTTCGCTGCCTGTCCGCCTTTAGAATGTGGACTCGCATGTATTTTTATTTTTTTACTGCTGTTCTAGGTCAGGGCCAGGACGTAGTAGGTGCTCACTTAACTATGTGCCAACCTCATCGGTTAGCTATGCCCTCTCCGCCCCCACCCGCTTCCTCTCCCTCCGCCCGCACCTTGGCCTTGGAGTTGAAGAAGGCCTTTGTGAAGAGCTGGATGGGGAGGTGGGAGCTCATGAGGCGGGGGCTGGACTGGTCCGAGAGGCTGAAGGCTCCCATGATGGTCTCACACCAGGGCGCCCGCTTCCAGATGGGCACCGAGCGGATCCAGGAGGGGTCCCCGTCCTTGACGATTAAGCTGAGGATCTCGATCATCCAGTTGGTGCCTGGCGGGAGCAACGGGGCAAATGAATCGGAGGCGGGGACGGGCGAAGAGGGGGGGGCGATGGGGCCGGCCCTGGCTCCCTCTACTGCACACATGGCTACGGGTTTCCTCACAACCGGCGGGGGACGAGGTGGAGTTGGTTGTCTCTATTTTCAGAGCAGGAAACAGCTCAGAGAAATAAGGTCGCCGGCCCAGGTGGCGAAGCCGGGAAGCGGCGGGCAAGTGGCGGAGCCTGGCTAGCCCTCCGTCCAACCCCGTTTCGTTTTCCTGCGGGGACTGCGTGGTTCCTGCAGCTGGGTGGGCCCACGTGACTGAGCTGTAGCCAAGGACATGCAGGTGGCGGTGATGTGCGGCCGGTTCCAGGCCTGGCCCATAAA